CTCTACCTCTCTCTCTCTACCTCGTTCTTCGTTTCGCGTTTTTGTTGTTCTTCTCTCGCCCACCACGACTCCCCTCACGTTCCCTCGCGAACATAATTACAGATTGCGAGTTCCAAGCCAATGGATAGTCAATGGCGAGCCGTACTCCGAGACCCCAACCTATCATCACAAGCCTTTGGTTAACTCAGACCTCGAGAAGAGATTTCGAGGTTCCATGGTATCCGCACGCTTTTCAAGGGGTTTCAACCGCGCCATTTGTCTAACCCTCGATCGTTCCAAGGTGTCTTTCCATATCAATGGGAGATGATTCAATTATTTACTAACTCTTATTCGTTCTTTCATTATTTAATTATATAGTATATTCCTCACGTGCAAAGAGGATAGATAGAATGACATATGTTATTATCATTTTGATATACATAATAAAATGTCACTTGATATACTTTTAAAATATTGTTTGATTAGATGTATACAAAAAATATTATAATTTTAATATCTTGAAAAAAAGAATAAATACCAATAAATGATATGTACACAATCAATTTTTAAGAATTAAGAATTAAAAAAAATTTTTAAGTCACATAAGTAAAGACATTTTTAAGACGTCGTCGCGGATTGATTTTGATGTAGCTCGAAACAAACTCCGAGCTTCAAGTATTCCGACTACGAAGTACGTTAAGATAATTCGTAAGCAGCCGGCTGTCGCGTGAGACCGTGGAAATGGTCACTCGTTACGTGAGTAACGATCCCGACCGCGATGAGGAGTAGGTACTTGCGAAGTCTATGGCCACTCACGTGACGGTCTGGTATACACATGTGACCGGTCACACGCACAAGCGACAACTTTCTGGAGGATAATCGTGCACGTCGAAGAGGTACTTGCCGCGGCATTCGACGTTCTTGAATAATTGATCGAAAATGTAGGACGAACTCGCGACTACAGCCGCAATAAAGTGGAACGAGCGGGTGTTGCACCGGTGATAGTGGACGTGGTCATCCGCCTTTGAGAGCGTAAAAGCTGAAAGGTCAATGGACAGTCGCGAATTAATGCGTCTTCTGGCGAACGTGACGTCGATGGTTAGACTCTGATATTATAGTTTTCGAATACACGATTGCAACAATTGCATATGTGGAAAATTGGGACACTGCCGATCTTAAATATTATTGGAAAATTCAATTTGATTCGCTTGGAATTGAATTGGACTCATTGGAAAATTTGATTTGATTTATTCTAAATTGGACTCACAAATATCATATCATTAACTAATATATTTTAATTAATAACTGATGTATTTTCGAATAAAAGTATCTTCTATAATATAAGATATGTTATTCAACATAAATCTAATTTCTCTTTTAAAATATTAATTTGGAAATTGAAGAAAAAAAGCAGAATAAGTTTCTCTCTAAAAAAAATTTAAAAGTATCCGTATCTTTAATAATATTTAAAAAAATTTTTTATTAAAATAAAATTTAAAATATTAAAAAAAACGTAATGAAATTACATCTTTCGGGTTGTCTGTTTCAATCTTCTTTAGTTATATTACATATAACATTATTTTATGAATTATATTCATTTTTAAGATAGTAATTACGATTGTTAAAAATAAATAACTATTTGACAAATCATAATCAGAAATTTTGAAATAAATATTATATTCTGTTTTACAGAGATCTTAGCCACAATCAGATTGCCACCATAGGACCGAAGACTCTCAGAGGAGTGTCCGCTCTCAGACATTTGTAAGTATCTTATCGGATGTGCTTGCCACAAAGACAGATTGTTCCGTAACAATCTCTCTCGAGACCATTTAGTCACAGTCTAGTAGCTCATTATAAACTATGCTCAAGTTGTTTTACATATGACAACTCTACTCGCATTACAGATAAAGCTCTGATAAAATTTCAGATAAAACTCATGAGTTGAGCTAGTATTTCAAATCTACTGTAACGTGTATTATCCTATATCTTTCTACGTCACCTATCACGTCAGTTTAAGTAGTAAAATATTATATGGTCAGACAACTCTAATAGTCAAAGCGTAACATAATATTTTTCTGAAATGTTATAATTTATCTCTCTTTCACATTATTTTATGTGAGAAGTTTAAAGAAATTAAATATTTTATTAAAATTTTACTTTTTTTCCTTATAGATTACTTGACAATAATGTATTGACTTGTGTGGATGAGGCTTCGATACGAGAATTGAAAGATTTGGAAATATTGTAAGTACACGAATTCGTTAGGTTATGTATTTAAATTATACGTTTTCCGTCAAAATTATTGAGAAATTATGCGAGAGAAAATAGAAATTTGTCAAATAAATTATTCATTTTAGAATGCTGAATAATAACAAACTTATAACGCTCGGCAAAGAGATATTGAACGGCTTGTCGCATTTGCGAACTTTGAAGCTTGCGGAGAACGCATTCGCTTGCGATTGCCATTTAGCATGGTTATCGCGTCATTTGAAGACTTATCCTCGCCTAGGGCAACATACACGATGCGCATCTCCGGCTCATCTCAAGGAACGCAATCTCGCCGAAGTGCAAGTGAGTCTGATTAGAGTTATGTTACTATCTATTGAATTTCAGTTTGCAAAACCCACAAAAGTTTATTTCTTGTCAGAATCTATGTACGTGCGTACATATTAAATAATGCATAAATATGTCAAGTCTTATTTATAAACGTATGTTAGAAATATGTTCTTATTAAATTACGTTTGTGTGTACACGTATAAAACGTAGTTTAGATCTTTTAATATACGGAGAAAAATGTGATGAAAAAATCGAGTAATTTTTACTTTACAATTAGTAACAAATATTGTGGCTATTTTTATCGATCTTATAACAAACTCTACTTGTCTGAAAGTAAAAATATTAGAGATGTAAAGTAATAAGTATGTTACAATTATAATAAATCCATTTAAATAATAATAATTACCTTAGTAAGTAAATTATATACAGTAAAGTAAATTATATTATTTTCAAGACTATGAGCACGAACAACTCTCAAAGTTTATTTTACGAAATGTAAAAAGTATCTTACAGTATTATTATCGATAATTTACCAGAAAAGTAAAATAAATTTTACATAAGTAGGCGCCTGTCTTCATATAAACTTATTAATTCCATTTTATTAGAACTCTAGTACATATTAATTACTTTACATTTTCCTCCGTATACAATATTATTTCAATTGTGTTAACCATTGTACGAGAAAAAAAGGTTTCTATAAAACATTTCTGTGATCGTTAAGCTTATCGATATCGTTTCTCGTTAACCCACTTCGTGCCTAATACAACTTCTAAACCCATTGTTTGCAGGAGCACGAGTTCAAATGTTCGGGTCTGGTCGAGCGAACGGGATCGGAATGCAGCGCTGAGCCCCAATGCCCGCATCCTTGTAAATGCGCTGATGGGATCGTCGATTGCAGAGAGAACTCCTTGACGAAAGTGCCAACCCACCTTCCCGAGGATACCACAGAGTTGTAAGTCGCGCCATGTTCGCGCATTGTGTATCTGTTCTTCATCTGAGATTTATTTCCCGTTTACAAACCGTACGCGCGCGCGCGCGCGCGCGCGCACACACACACACACACACTTTTTATTTAAATTAATTTTATTTATAAATTTGCGATTTTATTACTAATTTTTTAAAATATAATCCTATGTAAAGCAGAGAAAACCAAATAATTTTATAAAATTTATCAAGATTGATAATATAATGTATGAAACACAGAATAATATATTTATTTGCGTGGGAAACGGTGGAGGAGAGTGAGAGAGAAATACACGAAACAGTATAATGCAAACGAGTATAAAACAATCGATAGCCTTGCAGCTTTACGAAACGGCTACCTAGCACAAATGTGCAGATTTGCTAACTTATTTGTATAATTTGTTTTTCTATAACTGTCTGCAGGCGGCTGGAACAAAATGGCATTACGGAAATTCCACCAAAGGCTTTCTCGCCATATAGAAAATTGCGAAGAATGTGAGTGATGTTTGTAATTGACTTACTTTAGTACATACATATATACAGATCGCTTTTGCGCATGTTGACCGCAACATTTAATACTTTTATATGTTTCCGGTTTCCCGTCCGCAGTGACCTGAGCAACAACCAGATAAAAAAGGTAGCAGCAGATGCTTTCCACGGATTGAAGTCCCTCGAATCGCTGTATGTATCTTTTTCTCTTTACTGATACATTTTGAATAACATTCTATTCTATTTTAAAAAACATTCTATTCTGTTTTACCACAACGACAAAAATATATATTTGGTTGCAGAGTTCTATATGGCAACAAAATCACTGAGCTACCAGCTGGTCTTTTCCAAGGCCTTACAAATCTGCAATTATTGTGAGTAAATAATGAAAAAAGAGAGAGGATTGTAAATTTAATGAATAGAATTTAAAACTAAAACGAATTGCACGAAAGTCAATTTTATTAAAGTTAAATAAATTGGAATAGATATAATTTTCTATTGCATGATGCGAGGTCGACTTTAAGAAGGCGAGAATTAATAATTCATATTAGAACCACTAAAGAAAATGTTTTTATTCATAGTTTCACGTATTGTTCTCGCTTTCCCGTGAAGCATTGCAACGAGGCAACTGTTGGAAATTATGGCGAAACTTATTGTTTCAGGTTACTGAATGCCAATGAGATATCATGCATACGAACAGACCTGTTCAAAGACTTAACCAGTCTTACCTTGCTGTCTTTGTACGACAACAATATACGTTCGTTAGCTAATGGGACTTTTGCCAACCTGCGGAGCATTAAAACACTGTTCGTATTATACAAAACTGCATAAGTTCTGACAATCATTTCCTAATTTGGACGAAAAATGTGTTTGTCATTAAAATAATTAACGAAGAAGATATTTCGTACCACATTTTAAAGAATCTGCAGTCAGTAATTCTTTTTTTCGCAGACATTTGGCGAGGAATCCGTTCATCTGCGATTGCAATCTACGCTGGCTGAGCGCGTATCTTCACGCGCATCCTATAGAGACATCCGGCGCTAAATGCGAAACGCCAAAAAGAGCGCAGAAACGGAAGATCGATTCGATGCGGGACGACAAGTTCAAATGTAAGGGTAAGCACAATTCGACTTTCCGGTATATCTCTTCTTAACACTTCGGCAGAGTAATGTACAGGTCGGTAGTCTATGTGGAGGAAAATATATTGCACGATGAATGTAAATAGGTCCCTATTATCCGTTGACTTGCATTTATAATACATTTCACGACATCTTTAAATCTTTGTATTATCATATATGTAATTACATTTATATTCATATCTGTATGAAATTCATCATCTATCACCTTGCATCAATATAATTTCAATAAATATCATTTTATCGTCTATCTTACATCAGCTTTTAAATGCTAAAAATTGAAAGTAGCGCTTACCTTACCATATGGTATATATGGAAAATGAGAGAAAGCGAATAAGCAGAATGGAAATCGGATTATATTACCATTTATAAATTAATATTCGTTCTTTCGCTAAGAAAGGATATATCGAAAGCCGATGCCAAGCTATTGAATTGATCAATCGTGTCACTTTATTACCAATCACATGTGATGGTGTACGTGCCACATTCGAACAACCGATCCACGGTTTCCATTTTCACTCGTGTGAAATCACCCACCATCGTTCCTGTTGCTTCCAATGCTTCTTGCATTACATACCCAGACACGTACGTCTTCTCCTTTCTCTCTGTCTCGATTCTTCTTCGTTCTTGTCGACACGTCCGAAACAGGTGACCAGACGATCTATATAGGTACTCTCGCACGGTAGGATAAATGCTGGTCACTTTGTTGGACGTATGTAATTGCCGATGGATGTATCTTGCTAACCGTAATACCGCCCACGGTGTGCATTAATGTCAGCTGATGTTATGTACATTCGCAAAGACGCTTGTAAACTCGTTCATGTTCGCATAATGATAATCATTTAGCAAAACGAAGCTGCATACGGATGATTTACGTAGATAAAGATCGTGCCCTAAGAGGATGTATTTTTTGAAATTTTATTCTTCCGTCGATATACGAGGAGTTTTCCTGTAAATTATTCACGGAAGATCATAAGAAAATATTTGAGCATATCATAGCGTTAAAATACGAATATATTGGATAAAGATAAAGAAGCTATGATTTATTGAGAATTTGAACAAATATCGTTGTTTTGATACTTTTTAAATTTTAGGAAGCTAATTAAAAGTATTTTAACGATAACAATATCAAAGCAATATTTATATTTTTTATAACTAAAAACTGTTCTTCGACGTTATATATTATGCTTTATGCGGACGTATGATGCACTCATAGCATGCTTATTATATCATAGTCCGTAAATTTTGATATGCAACTTCCGGAATTACAAAAATTTTATCTCTGTTATTTTCATCGCGCAGTGGTTTATCTTGTCTTTTTGCAACACCCCCCCGTAATTCTAGGGAAATTTATTGCAACCGTACGAATGTCCCTTCTACAGAATACATCTTTTACGACATGTTTTTTGCGGAACTATCCGTGTTTGCCGTATCCGTTTGAGAATAATACCTAGAAGTCTCTAACCTTCCTTTATGCAGCCTCAAGTTTCACTCGGATGCACTCTCCTTGTACGCTATACTATTCTGAAAAGCATATGTACTACTGTACATACATATGTGTACACGCGGTTGTACAGAGGTTGAAATGCAAAAACCCAGCAGAACCGCGCAACATCTTGCTTGTTAACATTTTGAATACAAAATAGCCACACAGATTTTATATATAAACAATGAAATTATCTCGCGACTATATTAATTAATTTATCATTAAACATCACATGTTATTGGTATAAACTTATATTAAACATATATAAATATCGATGTTGTTAAAGATTTACTTTGAACGATATGTGTAATGTATTACATTGATTTATTTAAAAAAAAATACGAAACAATTGCATATAGAGACAGCTTGAATATAATTAGTATCACACGGAAAGAACGGTTTTGCTAAAGTATCTAAAAATTTAGTTAGATATATAGATCTGAATAATTTTGTTGAATCATTAAAATAATTACGTTGAAATATCAAAATAATATACAATATTATATATATATATATATAAAATTAGGACTCTCAAATTGATTACTGAAATATATCGTTATTTTGATATAGACTAATAGAATTATTCTCAAATTTATATTTAGCAAAATTTTTAGATAATTCAGGAAAACCGTGCACTGAAGAAAAATAATATCCAGTGTACGTTTTTGCAACTTACTCCATACACATGAAACTCAATTTAGAGTTAAGAAAAAAAAACTTGGTAGCGCATATGTGCACTTATGCCAGTATAAATGTGCGCATAACTGCTACGTATAATTCTGTAAACGGGAACTTACGTTGCGAACGTTAAACTTGTAGACAACTTCCGTAACTTGCATCTCCGGTCACGGCAAAAATTTACACGATATCCTTGCTTCTGCATTACGAAGGATTTCGCGAGAATTAGAAGGAGAGTGCTTCGTAGAAAGAAACAAATGTTGCTCCTTAAGCAGCACTTCCATCCGAATACGTAAGAGTACTGGCGAAGCGGACGGTAGAAGAAACAACGGAAAATAATCATTTTTAACTTTACTTACGGAAACGCAAATTTATTTTTATTATTTATATTTCTCTGTCATTATTGTCTCAAGCAAATTTTTGTCAGTTTTATTTTTCACATAAAATATAAATGATTGTACAATAAAAGCTGTACTTCTGTGAGATATCTGTTTTTTATCATTTATTCGTTGCATTATTCTTCAATACAAAAATAATGAATATTTTTTTAATCATCGTTACCAGCAATAGCTTTTGATATGTAGTTTTATTTATTTATAAAAGCATACGACGTTGAAGGGAAAAATAAGCAAATACACATTCACATTGGAAAAGAGAAAAAAAATCAGTTTTTGATGACCTTTAATCTGACTTCTTTCTCTTTTATTGACGAATAAAAACCACTATTGTATTAGACCGCCGCGGAGAAAGCACAGTCGCTATGCGAGATGTTAAACGGCATTATACATGTTGCAATGTGTATCGTCGATATAATTACGTATGCGTACATCACACCCGGCAATTTGTAATGTGGTGTATAATACGATGATAAATCATTTCTGCCGTAGTCGCACTCATACATAAACATATTTAACCCTCAACACTAACGCACGACGTTAAACACTCGATTAACGTGCAAGTACATATGGCATCATACGTACGAGTGATTTCGTTTAACGACGCCATTAATTACACTGTTCATTATCAAAATTTATCGTTAACGAATCGACATCATCATCATTATGTTTACCATATAATTATGTTTGACCACAGTTTTCATGAAAAAATGCAACATTTATTTGTGGCCGAGACATCACACGACTGCTTTGCGCACGACGTGTATATATTATTCGCGTCGTATGTCGGATCAGGAACATGATCGAGTGCGGAAGTGTTGTTCAGGCGCGATTGTTAGAATTTGACTCCATCCAGAAACTTTGTCCGCAGGTGACGAGGAACTGCTAACAAAAAGAGCTGGCGAATGCATTCTGCCTGGCGCTTGCCCCGCGCAGTGTACATGCAATGGCGCGACGGTCGATTGCTCCAACAAAAGATTAACTGCGATACCAAAAGACTTACCGCTTTACACGTCGACTTTGTAAGTATATACTTCTCTTAATTGGCGTGTTAAGTTACCCACGTATGAAATCTAGAAAAAGAACGACTTTGTTAATCCCAACTACTCACTGATGCTATCGAAGTCCTGTCAGATAAACTCTGCAAACTCCGTTTTTCATCATTGATGAGTAAGTCGTCGACAACGAAAAGACTCGACAGGCAAAAGATGTATCTTTCATTAAAAAATTTCCTTCAACAGTATTTTACTTATCGTTACTTATCGTTACTAAGAGACGTATGTGGGCAAAATGAGAAAACTAAAGGCGAACTCAATTTATGTCATACAGGATGTAGCAGCATCCGCAATATATTTCGTGCAGTTATGTTTGTCATGCTGAACGCACTTGTACCGCGAACATTTTTAGTGCCTCCCAAAATACTATGTGACATCGCGCTGATGAAGAGGTAGTCGGTTGATATAAAAGGAAAGGAAAATCTTCTCAAAATGTTTATGCTTTCGATATTCGAATACTAAATAAGCGTTCGGTTTGCCAGGCATTCTTGCCTCTGATCGTAATTAAAGATATAACGAGGCGCTTTTAATGAATAATGGGGAATAATTATACATTACAATTTAGTAATAATTATGCTACTTTTAATAATGTTTGCAAGTTGTAAAAATTATTTACTCCTCTAAATAATAAATATTCTAAATAATAATATTACATTTATACATGCAGTAAATATCTATATTAAGTAGCAATATTAACAATATTAAGGAATGAGATTATGGAAACAATATCGATAAATACGATAGTAATCAGCATTATGAGTCCTAATTATATCTAGCTAATAACAATTAGCATGTTAAATATAGACACATACATGAATTGATTATGATGAATTGCAAATTGAAACTATAAAACAATATAATCTCAAAAGATAATCTCAAATAATTTAAAAAGTATGATTCAATTGCTCATATAATTACACTAGGTAATGATAATGGAAATAAAAAGAACGATATAGTAAAGATTATTAATCCATTTTGAATTGATACGTCGTTTTGCAATTTTGGCTTGCAAATAGTTATATTTCTAGTTTACAATTATTTTATAATTAGTGTAACATTTTATTAAATAATATTCTAGATTATTATTTTTTTATGAGAAAATATTTACTTCAAATTGTTGAGTATTGGACAAGCCAATCGATCGGTCGAGACGGTCCAGACGAGTGGTTAGGATGAATATTACTCGTCTGTAGAGAATTCTCATCGCTCAGTTCGAATATTAATTCGATCGTTGAACCAGATAATCACCTGATTAAATCGTAGAGTGCAATGGGAAAAGAACAATGTGATTGGACTATTATTCGCAGTAAATTACGCATCTGATTTGTTCAATAAATCGACGTTTTATAAAAGAAATTAATTTTTCAATATCATCTAATAATCAATATATTAGCCCTTATAA